ATTATCTTGTTTTTGCATCTAATGTGCAAACAAATGCAAAAAAGTGCAAAAATATGCAAAAACATGCAAAAGTGTGCAAAAAAGTGCAAAAAAAGTGCCAAACAATGCAAAAAAGTGCCAAAAAATGCAAAATCCTGCAAAAAATGTAGACAAATGCAACAAAATGCAAAAAATGCAAAAAAAAAGCAACACACACAAAAGTGCAAAACAGCATGCAAACACAACAATTATGCAAACAACGTGCACGAAATGCAAAAACAACAAAATCAACAAACTAATGCCACAAACTGCAAGAAATGAAAAAGCAACATCAAAAAGAATGTCGGGCATGGCAAGCACTAAAATCATGATGACAACAATGAATCCCATAATTCTACAAAAATGCACGATGAGGCCTCCAAATCCGTTGGTAAAGGTATGTTGTTTGAGAAGGGCCTGGTGTGTGGGTGTGGGTGTTGTCTTTTTGTTGCTCGTTGTTGGTTGTTGGTATGTTAGTGTTTGTTGTTTGTTGTTTGGTGTTTGTTGTTGCTTGTTTGTAGGTTGTTGTTTGTTGTTTGTTGTTTGTTGCTTTGTGTTTGCTGTTTGTTGTTTGTTTGTGTTTGTGTTTGTGTTTGTTTGTTTGTTTGCTTGTTTGCTTGTATGTTTGTTTCTTTGTTTGTTTGTTTGTTGTGTGTGTTTGTTTGTTTGTTTGTTTGCTTGTTTGTTTGTTTGTTTGTTTTGTTTTGTTTGTTTCTTTCTTTTTTGTTTGTTTGTTTGTTGGTTGGTTGGTTGGTTTGTTTGTTTGTTTGTTTGTTTTGTTGTTGTTTGTGGCGGTGGTGTAGTTGTAGCTTCAGTTGCAGTTGTAGTTGTAGTTGTAGTGATGGTTGTAGTTGTAGTTGCGGTCGTAGTTGGATTTCCACTTGCAGTTGTAGTTGCAGTTGCAGTTGTAGTTGTAGTTGTAGTTATTGTTGTAGTTGCAGTTGCAGTTGTAGTTAGGTGTCGTCTCTTGTAGTTGCATTTGTAACTGTAGTCGTAGTTGCAGTTGTAGTTGTTGTTGCACTTGTTGTTGTAGTTGCAGTTGTTGTTGTAGTGGTAGTAGTTGTTGTTTTTGTGTGTTGCTAGTTGTTTGCTGGGTGTTGTTTGTTGTTTGTTGTTTGTTGCTGTTGCTGTTGCTGTTGCTGCTGCTGCTGCTGCTGCTGTTGTTGTTGTTGGCGGTGGTGGTGGTGGTGATGTTGTTGTTGTTATTGTTGCTGTTGTTGCTGTTGTTTCGTTTGTTGTGTACGCTTTGTTTGTTGCGTGTGTTGTGTTTGTTGCGTTAGTCGTGCGCGTGTGTGTGTTGTGTTTGTTGTTTACCCTTGTGCGTTCGCATTAGCAACAGTTAGACCCAATTGTTCTGCTTGCGCCGCCTTAAGTTGTTGATTTTTCCAGAAGATGAACGGGCCCGATCAAGGCTTGCAGTGATACCTCATGGCTTGCAGTGATACCCTTTGTCAATATCAATCATTGACAAACAGGCTCCGAAATTGCCCTCCCCATTCCCTCAAAATTCCTTCACAATTCCCTCACAATTCCCTCAGAACTCCCTCAACAATTCCCTCAACAATTCCCTCGGAATTCCATCAAAAATCACCGCGAGGCCTTTTTCGAAATCCCATCAAAATTCCCTCCACGTTCACCTCAATCACATTTCCTTCAAAATCCCAGCGCGTTCCCCTCAAAAATCCAGTACACTTCCCTCACAATCCCAACAACATTCCATGAAAATTCCATCAAAACCCCATCAACATCCCATCAACATACAAACAAACACCTCAGCATTCCTGCAAATGTCCTTCATAATTGCCGCGCAATTCCCACACAAGTCCTTCAACATCCTCTCAAAATCACCTCAATATTCCTTTGAACTTCCGGCAAGATTCCCGCACAATTCCCTGAAACCCCTAAACATTTCATCAAGATTCCCTCAGAATTAAAAACTTTTTGGCGAGTTTGTCTCAAAGTGCCTCAGCGTGCTGAGCTTGTTGACTGTGTGGGCCCCAAGCTGCTTAACAAAGTTACATCCGAGTGTCCAAAAAATCTCAACTCATTCTTGGTATGCCCCCGCCACTTTTTAACAAATTTACCTCAAAGAGTCTCACAACTTTCAGCTTGTTCACAGTCTATGCCCGCCACTTCTCGGGAAAGCCATCCCAAAATATCTCAACTCACTTCATGTCACATGCATATTTGAAATAATTTGAGATAATTTGAGATAATTTGAGATAATTTGAGATACTTTGAGATAATTTGAGATAATTTGAGATAATTTGAGATAATTTGAGAAAATTTGAGAAAATTTGAGATAATTTGAGAAAATTTGAGATAATTTGAGATAGAGTCTGGGGTGTGTTTTGAGATAATTTGAGATAATTTGAGATCATTTGAGATCATTTGAGATAATTTGAGATAGAGTCTGGGGTGAGTGTTTTGAAATAATTTGAGATTATTTGAGATAATTTGGGGTCATTTGAGATAATTTGAGATAATTTGAGATAGAGTCTGGGTGTGTTTTTTGAGATAATTTGAGATAATTTGAGATAATTTGAGATAATTTGAGATAGAGTCTGGGTGGGTGTTTGCAAATAATTTGAGATTTTTTGAAATAATTTGAGATAGAGTCTGGGTGAGTGTTTTGAGATAATTTGACATAATTTGAGATAATTTGAGATAGAGTCTGGGTGAGTGTTTTGAGATAGTTTGCGATAATTTGCGTTAATTTGAGAGAATTTGAGATAATTTGGGATACTTTGATACACTTTGTGACGTGGAACAACTGGGCGGGCTTGTTTAAAATTTCTTGGGGCCTCGGAAACCTCAAACGAGCCCACCAAACCTCGTCGGCAAGGGTTCAATGGCTTGTTGGGTTTGGGAGAGATGCTTTGAGGTAGAGTTTAGGGTGAACGTTTGAGATAACCTGTATTGAGATGAAACAAGATAACTTGAGATAGGGTTTGAAGCGAGCGTCTAAAATCGATTGAGATAAACACATGTGCCTTGAAATAACTTGAGGTCGTTGTTCATTCTAGCGCATACGCGTGAGGCTCGTGCACTACTGTTGTTGGTTGTTGGTATTTCAGTGTTTGTTGTTTGTTTTTGTTTTGTTGTTCGTTGTTGGTTGTTGGTATGTTTGTGTTTGTTGTTTGTTGTTTGGTGTTTGGTGTTTGCTGTTGTTTGTTGTGTGTTGTTTGGAGGTTGTTGTTTGTTGTTTGTTGTTTGGTGTTTGTTGTTTGTTTGTCTGTTTGCTTATTTGTTCGTTTGTTTTGTGGTGGTGGTGTAGTTGTAGTTGCAGTTGTAGTTGTAGTTGTACTTGTAGTTGTCGTTGTAGTTGTCGTTGTAGTTGCAGGTGCAGTTGCAGTTGCAGTTGTAGTTTTAGTTGTAGCGGGGATTCCACTTGTAGTTGCAGTTGTAGCTGTAGTTGTAGCTGTGGTTGTAGTTGTAGTTGCAGCAGCAGCAGCAGCAGCAAAAGCAACAGCAACAAACAACATCAAACAACTAACAACAAACGACAAACAACAGACAACAATCAGCACCCAGCAAACAACTAACAACACGCAAAAACAACAACTATTACCACTACAACAACAACTGCATCTACAACAGCAACCGCCGCTACAACTACAACTGCGACTACAACTACAGTTGCAAGTGCAACTACAAGAAACGACGACTACAACTACGATTGCGACTACAACTACGATTGCGACTACAACTATAACTACAACTACAACTACAACTGCTGCTGTTGTTGTTGTTGGTGGTGGTGGTGGTGGTGGTGGTGGTGGCGGTGTTGTTGTTGTTGCTGTTGCTGTTGTTGCGTTTGTTGTGTGTGTGTGTTGTGTTTGTTGTGTTTGTTGCGTTTGTTGCGGTAGTCGTGTGTGCGTGTGTGTGTGTGTTGCGTTTGTTGTTTGTTGTTTGTTGTTTGCTGTTTGTTGTTTGCTGTTTGTTGTTTGTTGTTTGTTGTTTGTTGTTTGTTGCTTGTTTTATGTTGTTTGTTGTTAGTTGTTAGTTGTTTGTTGTTTGTGTTGTTTGCGTTGTTTGTCAAAACATAATGCACGGCACTCCTGAACACACACATGTGAAAACAACAACAAATGCAAAACTAAATGCCAAAAAAAGCAAGTTGCCTTCAACCTCGCCTACATCCTCGAGATAATCGAGAACGGCATTCCTGAACACACACATGTCAAAAAACAACAAAAATGCAAAATCAAATTTCAAAAATGCAAGTTGCTTTCAACCTGACCTACCTCTTCGAGATAATTCGAGATAATTCGAGATAGCCAAAAACCCCCCAAATCTAGACCCCATGAATCTAGACCCCATAAATTGGTTAGGGATTCTAGGCCTTTGCCAACCTACTCCACATTAACGATCATCATCATCATCATCATCATCATCATCATCATCATCATCATCATCATGCAACATCACGCGTAGCTTCACGCGCAGCAGCGTCAAAACACAGCGTAGCGCGCAAGAGAAGTTGACAGGAGAGATTTGTTCGAAGCGCGGCGCCAAGCTTGCTCATCAGAACTTGCAGAAGCTACGAAGGGACATCTCAAAGATGTGAGCCGCAAGAGGGCCAAGGAGAACTCAGGATGCTTCAAATCTAGGCGATTGCTGTTGATTCAAAGGAACTGTCCGGATCGCTTTCTTGCAAAACACCCAAACAAAGGAAACACCAGGTTCACTATACGAACAGACGCCACAGGAAAGCCTGGCCCGCAACCATGTGGCTTGCTTAGGGCCAAATAGCGGGATCTGACTTTGGGGTAAGGAATTGAGGGGCTCTCCTCTGTGCAAAATCAGACACAGAATTCCAAAGGTTCCAAAGGAGAAGGAGTGTGAGCCCCTTTGTACAAAGAAGAAGTACACAAATTCCAAAGGTTGCAGAAGGAGGGAAGGAGCTGCGTGCGCTCCTTGTCAACGGCGCCAACCCCTTCCATCGAGCTGACTCCTTTTGATTCACTCGCTCTCCGCGCCTCGCCCGCTTCAGGTTGCGGGGGCAAAGGAACCTGTGTCAAAACCCGACCCCGAGACCCCGAGAACTTGCCGCATGCTTTGACAACCTTTCTAGCGACGTTCTCAAAAAATGTAGGCCCCATCTCCAACATTTTATCAGTATAGAATGATTGATTCCCATACAGAAAAGGGGGTTCAAATGGCTTCGCCTCCAAAAGCGTGTGGAACCCAACAGCCAAAAGCATTTGGCTTGAGTGTGGTATGCAGCCAGTACCATGCAGTTCTGTTGCCTGAGAAACGGGCAGCCTTCAAAAAGCACAAATTATGGCACGGGTAAAGACATGAAACGAATTCTCCAACAACACCAAGGAAAGAGACCCTGGAAGGGTCCGCGGCTTTTGAACTTCACTCCGGGAGCGGCTCTCTGTTTGACTGTCCTTTGCGTCTCAAGGACCTTGCCCACTGTGCACAACGCAGTGCTCTGCAGGCCCTGCCTCTGAGCCGCAACAGAACAAACAGAAAACGTACGTGCAAGAGTACACCCCCCCCGCTTTGCAAGGGATGCCAGTCATCGCGAGCAACAACTTAGGATCTTGCACCTCTCAGTTGGGCTTTCCGCACGCAATGACCAAGCCAGCCATCTCAAACTCAACAACAATTTTCTGCCGCAAGGGTCCATCTGGTGCCTCGATGACCCCGGCCTGCCATCAGGTTTCGCGCCACAATACCACAATCGCCCGTCACCTATCACCTGCATCGGTCTCCAACTATCGCAAGAAAGTCTTTCACAGAGCGAACGCCGTCGCCTGGCTGAAAGTAGGTGTCACGCTCATCCTTCAGCGCACATCCTCGTCAACATACAGCATGCGCTGGTTGGCAGGGCCGGCCGGGCCGGCCACATCCAGCACTCGCAGGCTGGGCTTTGCAGGCGTCGTACCTCGAGCCATGTCCATATCAACGTGCTCCATGCCGTGGTTGTGCACCTCAGAAGTGGGATCTGGCAGCTACTGCGCAATCCCCGTAGCTTGCTGCGGCCCAGCTAGCTGCGATCTGAGGTCTTCTTCATGAAAATGTTACCCCCCACCCCCCTAGGCCCTCTCCCCCCCCCGCTTGGAGGCCAAAAAAGCACTACTAAACCACTACTAAGGCCTTAGTAGTGCTCGACTCTCGCTTAGCACTCGGTAGGGCCGCAAAACGTGTTTTTGCATGTACCCCAACACCTCGGTAGGGCCGCAAAACGTGTTTGCGCATGTGCTCCAAAACCTCGGTAGGGCCTCAATCTCGGCAAGGTCTCGGTAAGGCCTTAGTAAGGCCTTAGTAGGGCCTCGGTAGGGCCACGGTCGGCCTGACGAAACAGAGGAGCGGCCAACCAGCAAACCCGCAACTCTCAGCAAGCAAAACCGGTAAATCTCGGCAAGCTTGCCGAGAGCTCTCTGAGCGGGGGGGGCCTAGGGCGGGGGGGAAACATTTCCATGACTTCTGTGGGCGCGAGGTCATGTCGAGTCAGACTCCGTGAAAATGTCATACCGCTCGGGTTTCGGCCGGAATTTGTTTGTGTTGGCCTTCGTGACACACATGCCGCCAGGGCAGCCGCTGCGTGGGCGGCTGTTCTTCCTGAAGCTTGGCTGCTGGATCCGCATAATTTGCGCAGCTTTCCAAGATAGCTGCCGCGCCGTCAGTGCCGCGCACCTCCGTCTGCACACATACTGCTTGTCACCACACCCTGCAAGGCTCGTCACCTGTGGTTTCTTGGAAAAAGGTGCTTCATCTGTAGGTTTCTCGGGGATGTTTTTGAGCACGCCTCTGGCATGCCCGCCTCACCTGCCGAAGTGCGCAATGCAGCTCGGACTTTGTAGCACCATCACGAATCATAGCTATCATGTCTCAAGGACTTTGCCCAACTCAGATCTGCAGGCTCTACCTCTGAGCCGCAACAGAACAAACAGAAAACGTACTTCGGCGCACCATGCAAGATTACACTTTTGAGACCCCCGAAATGAGACCCCCGAAAAAGCGTGGCCTTTTGCGCCAAACACCTTCGCAAATTTCATGCCAAGCCCGCCTTCAGAAAGTCGCAGCGCAGCGCCCGTGACTGCAAGTCCGAGACATAGCCATGCACCGTGTCTCGTTGTTCGACGCGCCTTCGATTTGCTGCGGCTTGCCGGGAAGGGTTTGAGGTTGCCACGCATCGAAAAGAAAAAACAAAGGAGACTCAACAAATTGGTTTCGGATGGTTTCGGTTGTCCTTTTGGTTTCTCCTTTTTGGTTTCAGCAGACTTGAGAAGGGTGCCAAGTTCTAAAATCAACATACCGCGGATGTTATTTTGCCGGCAAAGACCCTGAACAACTGATATCCTAAAAGTAATTGCACAATGGAACACGAGAGATGTCCCCAAACTGAGGGGAAGGAAAGAGGGTTGGCCCATCTAGCCAGTTGAGGGGGAGATGGAACCTCCCAGGGGCCGCTTGGCTTGCTCTTGAGCTTTGGAGCATCGCAGGAACTGGGCAGCGTACGCCTGGTTCTGACCCGCTTAGTAGGCTCATCTCCATGGCTTTTGTGGTTTCTACCCGTGGTTATTGCCCACTCACCATGCGCCGGATTGCTATAGACGTTTTGCCCCAGCCAAGGAACCGGAAGGTCTCCGCACTCCTGGCACGGAGAAGGCCAGGCGCAGAAGCCGGAGACTTCACGGCGATAAAGGTCGCTTCGTAAGCGAAGAACTGGGCCATGGCAAGCTCTCAAGAAACAGTGCTGGATCCGAGAAGCCTGACGAAGCAATTTTTATGGCTATTCACCAATGAAAGGTTCTGGGCCCTCTCGCCGGTGATTGGAGTGCCACGGGCAAACAAACTCTCGAAAACACGGCATGGCAATCAGACATTTGTCTAGCATGCAGACAGTTTAGAACGGGTGGGGTCGGGTACTGTTTTGTTTGACATAATTCTCGCCCTAGGTGCTCCAGTAGAGAGGTTACGGCGTCTGCAAAAATACCGGGACAGTTAAATAGGTGAACTGGTGTTTTTTGCTAGGTCCGGAGCAGATACGCCGAACCAAACCAGCAAATACACAAACGGAAGTTGAACTTGTGTTTGACAAAGGTCCGATTTGCAAGCCCCTGGCCAGCCTCAGCCATAGTTGGCCCAAACAGTTGGTTGAAGCCCAAACAGTTGGACAAACAGCCCCACAGTAAGAACTCCACCGTTTGTTGCAGCCCCGCAGTTGGAGCCCAAACCGTTGCAACCCCAGCCCGCAACGGGAACTCCAACTGTTTGTTGTGTCCCCGGCAGTACAGTTGGAACCCCCAAAGTGGGAACTCCAACTGATTGTTGTAGCCCCCACAATTGGAGCACAAACAGTTGGAACCTTCAGTGGCCCCGCGGCAGTGCTGTTTGTTGAGCTCCAACTTTTTCTTCTAAAAGCGGCTGCAAACTTCACCTGCCAACTCTTCACGTGAATTTCTCATGCCAACTTGCTGAGGAGTTTTTCACCTGCCAACTTCTCGCGCCAACTTTTTGAGAGTTACTTCACCTGCCAACTTCTCATGCCAACTTTTCGAGAGTTGCTTTCGGGTGTTGTCTCATGATTCTCAAAGCACAAGGAAACTTTTCGGGCACTATCCTAAAAAACACCAGCTAACTTTTATTTTGTGCCTACCCCTCTGCAAATTTGTCTTGACCGCAGCGAACCCTCTGCGGAGATCGTGCGTCTCGAAGCGCTCACGCTGTGGTGCGAATTTGTCTTGACCGCGGCGAACCTCTGCGGAGATCGTGCGTGTCGAAGGGCTCTCGCTGTGGCGCCGTGCGTCTTGAGCTCGGCGAACCCTCTGCGGAGATCGTGCGCGTCGAAGCGCTCTCGCTGTGGCGCTGTGCGAATTTGTCTTGACCGCGGCGAACCCTCTGCGGAGATTGTGTGTGTCGAAGCGCTCTGTGGCGCCGTGCGAATTGGTCTCAGCACTGTATCCACGAGTAACAAATGGTAAGCACGCCCGCTCAAGTGTGCTCTGTGTCTACGCCAAATGAAAAGCAGCGCACCCGCGCCCACTCAGGCGCACCCTGCGCATTGTACCCACACACGCCAAATTGTAGGCACACCTTGCCCAGTGCTTACCCAACATTGTACAGCGTCTGCCAAATGGTAAGCGCGCCCGCTCAGGGTACCCGCTCAGCACTGATGCAAAATGGAAGCACACCCGCTCAGGTGCACCCGCCCAGCACTGTACCCCACACATGCCAAATCGTAGGCACACAGGCTCAGGTGCGCCCGCCCAGCACTGTATCCAAACATGTCAAATTGCCAAATGGTAAGCACACCCGCTCAAGCGCAACCTCTCAACACTGTGTCCACGCACGTCGTTGCACCCGCTCAGAACTGCATCCACGCATGCCAAATGGTTATGGCACACCCGGACCGCCAGCTCAGCACTGTATCCATGCGCGCCAAATGGTAAGCATCAGATGCACCCGCCCAGCACTCTACCAGAAAAAAACACACCCGCACCCGCTCACCACTGTATCCACGCATGCCAGATTGTAAGCACACCCGCTCAAGTGTACGCATACCAAACGGAAAGCACACCCGCCCAACTGCGCCCGCTGGGCACTCTACCACGGATGCCAGATGGAACGCGCACCCGCGTGCACCCGCTCATGCTCAGGACTGCTCCACGCATGCCAAATGGTAAGCACTCCCGCTCGAGCGCGCCCGCTCCGCACTGTATCCACGCATGCCAAAGCCAAAAGCTAAGCGAACCCGCTCAAGCACACCCGCTCAGCACTGTAACCGCACATGCCGAATGGTAAGCACGCCCGCTCAGATCAGCAACGCGTGCCAAACGGTAAGCACACCCGCTCAAGTGCACCGGTGCTCAGCACTGTACCCAGACAGGCCGCCTACTAAGCCACCTAGCGCCGCATTCTGGCCTGCCAAGTTCTCTTACTCCTCAGAACGCACAAGCGGGGGTCTCAAAGCTGCGGGGTGTCCACCACTACAGCCGGCACCTGAAAGTGGACGCAGCCCCTAGGGAGTTCCCTGTACTTGGGCCGATGGGCTGTCCAAACTGATCTGCTGAAGGTCTCTAACTTTTGGCGGGCTCAATGGACACCAACCACTAAACCAACTAAAAAAGAACCTACGGGGATGGCAAGGATTCACCAAGTAATCTTTACTGACTGAGACAGCTTAAACCTAACAACATGAGAAAGCTGGGTACAAACGAGATGTCATGATCTTGGAAGCAAGCTATGCTTTTAGCCTGAAATTGGCCCCCTG